GGGCATAAATTCCTCTTTAGGAATCACAGTGTTTTTCTGTGCCAGAATCAGTTAAAAGCCAAATAGCAACAAGCTTTTGTAGCAAGTGCTTACTAATGTTTCTCTCTATTCTTTTCAGGGTAATTTATTCTTATCTATATTGAAAATGTTTATTAAACTAAGGTTCACCACACAAAATAAGCTACATAGTTTACTCGAGAAAGATAACCAGAGGAAAAGAAAGAGGTTTTGGAGCTGCCGGAGCTGTGTTACCAAATCACTAACCACTGGCCATCTGTGGTTAAATTTTAATTTGATTTCATTTAATTTAAAATTCAGCTCTTCAGTTGCACTAGCCATTCCAGGTGGTCAATGACCACATGTGTTGAACAGCACAGATTTAAACACATCCCTCGCTGCAGAAAGTTTTACTGAACAGTGCCGATCGGAGCATTGTGAGCCATTTTGCTTCCAAATGCATACGGTTACCAGAGTTTATAAACCTCATTACTAAAACTAAAATATATAAGAGGAATATTTATGTTTAGAACATGGTTTCTAGGACTTTACTGATACCACTGAGTTAATGAACAGGGTTTTCTCAGATCCTGGGGTGGAGGGAGGAGTTGAATATGACTGTGTTTCTTATGTAACTCTTTGTCTGCTCGTCTATATGAGGGCATGACAGATACAGCAGTATTCCTAAGTGTAGTAGTCTGTTCTCATGCTGCTGATAAAGACATACCCGAGACTGGGTAACTTATAAAGGAAAGAGGCTTAATGGCTGGGGAGGCCTCGCAATCATGGCAGGAGGTGAAGGAGGAGCAAAGTCACGTCTTACATGGTGGCAGGCAAGAGAGCATGTGTGGGGGAACTCCGCTTTATAAAACCATCACATCTCGTGAGACGTACTCACTATCATGAGAACAGCACGAGAAAGACCCACCCCATGATCCAATTACTTCCCACCAGGTCCCGCCCATGACACATGGGAATTATGGGAGCTACAATTCAAGATGAGATTTGGGTGGGGACACAGCCACACCATGTCACTAAATGTGCATAATGAAGTCAGTTAGGCTTCATGTCATGCCTATAAAACACTCTATTCTTTTTCATGGACTTTCTTTTCAGTACTTTGAATGTTATTCCACTGCCTTCTGGACTCCACTGCTTCCGATGAGAAGTCAGCTGTTAGGCGGAGCACTGTGGCTCATGCCTGTAATCCCAGCACTTTGGGAGGCTGAGGTGGGTGGATCACGAGGTCAGGAGATCAAGACCATCCTGGCTAACACAGTGAAACCCCATCTCTACTAAAAATACAAAAAAATTAGCCAGGCGTGGTGGCAGGAGCCTGTAGTCCCAGCTACTCGGGAGGCTGAGGCAGGAGAACGGCGGGAACCCGGGGGGCGGGGCTTGCAGTGAGCCGAGATCGCGCCACCGCACTCCAGCCTGGGCTACAGAGCAAGAGTCCATCTCAAAAAAAAAAAAAAAAAGTCAGCTGTTAATCTTATTGGGGTTCCTTTGTAAGGGATGAGTAGTTTTTCTCTTCCTATTCCCAAGATTTTCTCTGTGTATTTGACTTTCAGTATTTTTACATCAGTGTCTGGATGTGGATCTCTTTGCATTTGTCTGTGGAGTTTGTTGAGTTTCTTGGATGTGTGGATTCATGTTTTTCATCAGATTCAGGAAGTTTTTACCCATTATTCAATTTTTTAAATTCTTTTCTCATTTTCTTCTCCTTCTGCCCCTCCAATTATGCAAATGTTGATGTGCTTTCTTTTCATTTTTCTTCATTCTATTTTCTCTGATCTTTAAATTGAATAATCTCTATTGATCTCTCTTCAAATTCACAGATTCTTTCTTCTGTGGGTTCAGATTTACTGTTAAGCCCCCAAATAAATGCTTGATTTTGGTTTTGTACTTTTCAACTCCAGAATATCTATTTCGTTCTTTTTTATTACTTTCACTTTTTGATTTCCCTGTTTGATGCAACATTGTCTTCATACCTTCCTTCACTTATTTAATCATTTGTACTTTGGTTCTTTGAACTTATTTATAATGAAGTTTTGTCTGTTAAATACACCTGGTCCCTCTTATAAGCTGTTTCTGTTGACTGCTTTTATGGGTCACACTTTCATGTTTCTCTGAATGTCTTCTACTTTTGTGTTGAACCTGGACATTTTAGGTAATATATTGCAGGAACTCTGGATACTGTTTCCCCTCTTTTCTCCCTGGATCTTAGTTTGGTTGTTTTGTTTATTTTGTGACTTGGCTACACACCAGAATACTTTAGTAAAGTCTGTTTTCGCTTTTGGTGTCATTACTTGGAGGGTGAGGCTTGAGTTGCACACTGTGTCCCTGCAGTGACACTGGGTTTAAGGGGGTTCTCTTTGCCTCTTTCCCTGATTTCTATCTTCAGCCGTCTGCTTGATTTGGTATTACCAGGGTCCATCAGGCCCCAATTACCAGCTGATTGCTTTATTGTTTTTGATAGAGCCCTGGGGCATAAATTGCCCAGCAGTCTGATCCAATTAAATTCTGGCAGGGGCAGTTATTGAGGCCAGACTTTGAGGTTTGTTGACTCTATGAGAGCTCTTCTTTGCTGTCTCTTTCCCTGGTTCCCCCGGAGAACCAGCTGGGCTATGATTTAGCTTGTTGCTCTTAATTAAGAGAGGCATCATTATCAAGAGTCTCTTAGGCATGCATTTTCCCCACATTCTGCTTCAAGTAAAGTCAGTTTCTTTAAGGAGTGCCCTGGAGCTCTTTTTTCTTACGGACTTTGTGTTAATTTGGGCAACTGCAATGTTTAAGGGCACACAGCCCCCACGGGACCACCCTCACTTCTGATACTAGCTGCAAGTTTGAGGAGTTCTCAAAACCAACCTCAGTTTTGATCATTTGGTAGGACTCACAGACCTCACAGACCTGTTATACTTGTGGTTACAGTTTATTATGAGGAAAGAATACAGATTAAAATGGGCCAAGAAAAGCACTGGATTGGACAGTGCGTGGGGAAGTGCCAAATGTAGAGCCTCCATTGTCTTCTCTCATAGAATCAACACACATCATTACCTTTCCAGCAACAGTGTGTGACAGGACAGCACGCATAGAGCATTGCCAACCCGGGAAACTCAATCAAGCCTCAGTGTTCAGAGTTTTTACTGGGGCTTCATTACATCAACATCACTGATTGCCCACATGGCTGATCTCTGTCTCCAGACTCTGCAGGTATCACCCAAAGCCTTCACCCTAAACCACACTCGTGGTCTTTCTGGTGTGGCCAGTCCCCATCTGAAATCACATTGTTAGACTATCTCATGTGACCCAAGGTCCCCAGGCAAACAAAGACACTCCTATTTGGCATGATATTCCAAGAAGCTTAGGGCGAAGACCAGACATCTTTTTGGGCAAGATTAAATTCTTTACTGCACAGGCTGCGTCTTCCCTGGACAACCTCTCTGAGCCACTCCTCTGGGTGCTGGGCAGGGTGGTGGCCTCTGGTCTTGTCAGCTCATCTAGCCCCTCAGCTGCACTCACCAGGAACTGAGCATCTCTGACTGAGCATGGTGGTTCACACCTGTAATCACAGCACTTTGGGAGGCCAAGGCGGGAGGATCACTTGAGGCCAGCCTAGGCAACATAGAAAGATCCCATCTCTACTAAAAAGACAAAAATTAGCCAGGCATAGTGATGTGTCCCTGTGGTCTCAGCTATTCAGGGGGCTGAGGAGGGCAGATCACTTGAGCCTGGGAGGCAGTGGTTGCAGTGAGCTGAGATCATGCCACTGCACTCCTACCTGGGCAACAGAGCCAGACCCTGTCTTTAAAAAAAGATTTTTGGCCAGGCGCAGTGGCTCAAGCCTGTAATCCCAGCACTTTGGGAGGCCGAGACGGGCGGATCACGAGGTCAGGAGATCGAGATCCTGG